CAAACATCCGGTCCGTTCTCCGTTCGTGATGAATCCATTTGGTGGAAACGATGGCGCTCGTGGTTCCTGATCTGTGGGTCGTCGTGTCCGGGTCTCCCAACCAGGCTCTTCCAGCTGGGTGCTCCGCGAGGAAAAGGCCGGCCAAAGGAGGAAGACCCTGAGACCAGACTTTCACAATGTGGGAAGTGAAAACATGAGGAGAAATCCCAGTGTTTCAGGTACCAAATTGTTGTTTCAGAATCCGTTCTGAAGGACTGGAATCCATGCATGGGTGTTCCATATTTTTCAGCGACACCTTTGCGGTCACTTCGCATGTTGCTTCAGGGGGCACTGTTGTATCGGATTACGTGGTGCTAAACGAGACTCTTCCCGTTCGACCGAATCTTCAAATCGGCCGAAGCTCGCTGAGACTCTTCCCGCGGAGAGTGAGTCTAGAGCGACTAAGCACCACGGCTCCTAAAGCCTTTCGCATGCGGTGGGCTGGCAAGAATGGTGATGGTTCATGGACTCACGACAGTGCAGCAGGAGGTTGACCTTTGGATTAATAGCTTAATAGCTATAGCCGGGCGATGATTCACAATGTTCGATCAAGAAATATCTGAAGGGAATAGCGGATTTCCTGGATTTCGGCGGAGGGCACATGTCTCCGAGAGCCCCAATGTGAAAAGAAAAAAACGGCCAACACCCAAAGAGCTGCGCCACTTTTCCACCGTGAAACATTGCGGTCAAAGGCGTGTTCGTTGGAGGGTCCAAGTTTGGAGAGTCTTTTGAAAAGCCACATGTTCCTTTCAAACGCTGCAAACCTTCCGAGAAGTTATTCTCCAACGAACGACGCGAATACGAACTCAGGACCTTTCGCGACCGGGTCGAAGCAACTCAACTCGTTCAGTTTGTTCACCTGGGTCGCCGATGCTCGGGGGTTTGCACTGAAAGAAAGGGTATCTTCCTGAGGCTTTTTGAACAGAAAAAGGATCTAGAATGTTCATTGGCTGCCAAGGTCCTCTGGATGTTTGGTGAAATCTTGGGTTTTGGTGGTCTGTTGAATGTAATCTTGACCACCAGGTCACTTCGGCAAAATCTTCGATTGAGTGTGACATCCCACAAAGTGTTCGTTGCTTCTCATCACCAAACTGGTTCCTTGTGGTCATCTCTGTGACGCCCCGTTGTTTTTCACACCGTTTTCGACGCCCCAGTCGCAGGGGTTCCAATTCCCCATGCCCGGTTCTGCGATGCAACTCTTCCAGGCTTTTCGTCCTGTCGTAGCTGGCGACCGAGAGTTTGGTCCTGTCTTGTCCAACTGCAAGCAAAACCTGGTAGAACAATCCCTGGCTACTGGTCCCCCCCTTTCCGTCTAAATACCATCCATTTGTCTTTTTTTGGTCATAGCTCAACTCGGCTCAACTGTTCCATTCATCCTTTGTTGGAGTAAAAACATGTTTTTTGTTTGTTTGTTTTAAAGCCATGACGAGAAAGACACGGCTTCTCGCAAGGTCCTGACTTGCTCACAATCCAGCGCACCAGAGTCCATGGAGAACATGCACCTGTATAAAGAATGCACCAAACGAGTCAGGAGTGGCAGACAGTCGTTTGTTGGAAGTGTGGGAGTCTTAAGGAATTAACATGTAGTCTTCATGCGTGTTCCAAACAAAACGCATCAAAAAGCTAGGTATCTGGCGCGGCCGCAACTCGTCCTTTGGATTCTAAGTCTACTCTTGACACCAAAAACAAAAGGCCCGTGTCGACCGTGGTGATGGGTAAAGAATAACTACAATACGTCTCCATCTGAATGTTATAGTCGCGATGGCTTATATTTCGCCACAACACTCAGAAACGAAACACCTTGCTTGCATCAACCCAAACTCCCCAAAACGACGGTCTGGGTGGCGGGCTTTCCACCTACGGAAACATGTTGATCCACCAATTCTGCTTCAGGCTCGTTTGGGCCACTTGCACTTACATGGGCCTGCCATGTCTTGATTGAACAAATCAACAAGACCCACACATGCCCAAATAGCTGTCGTGTCCAAATCCATTAAGAATCATTAAGAGAGATTGACATTGACATGCTACTTATTACAGCGTGTTGACGCCAATTTTATAGTTCGCTGGCGGAAAAGTGGCTTTGGCCGTCTTCTTATTGATTCATGTCTGGTTTGAGTTCTACTCATTTCACTCATTTCCCAACTGCGGAAGTATCATGAGGACTCCAGGAGTATTCTTCATCGCTTTCGAAGAAGCAAACACCCAACCCCAAATAGCCAACCCCTTCAGGCTTCCACCGGCAGACTCCCGATCTTCCCTCACCTGGGTTGAAGGGCATCATCTTCCGCAGATCCGCCGCGCGGACCGCGGCGTCGGGATCCGCCGTGGGGTTGCCGATGGCCGAGGACCACACCTCGAAACCGAGGAAGTCGGACCGCACGAAGCCGGAGGGGCACGGAGTTCGGTGCTTCGGTCAAGAGAGACGGCGATGAAAGTCAATGTCTGAAACCCACCAGTGCATCTATGAGCTGTAGAAGATTCTAAGTTTGCTTCGAAATGATTCATGTGAAGATGGGAGGAAATATGATGAAATTATAAAAGCAAACTGGCCCATGTCTGCAAATGACCGCAAAGTTTGCATGCTCCAAGATGGCCCATGTTGACACATGGATCCTGACATCCTGTGAGCCGGAAAGCCTTGTCTAGGCATAGCTTGTTTGGTGCAATGATTGCGAACCAAACGGGAACTAAGCTACCCAGCACACCAAAGAATCAACGAGTTTTTGCTGACTTCAGGCTGGATGCTTTCAGGAGTTTACCACGAGTCTTCAAAAGATTTCTCTATCAAGAAGGCTTTCTTAGACCTTGTCATGACCCTCCAAGCAAAACCAAGATCTGCTGAGTCCCCGGGTGCTCCAAGACTCTTCAACGCAGATCTTCTTCCAACCGGAGCAAAATCAGCCCCTTCACCCCTCTTTGAAGTTCTCAGTCTCCTTGCGATCGAGGTACAGCAGCTGCGTACTTGGAACAAAACATGGCCTTCGGCTTCAATCGACGGCCCTCCTTGTCATGCGTGTGGAAGGCCTTGTAGGTGGACGCCTCACAAGCAATCTGCACCGCATGGGGAGCCCAACTTTGCGGCGTCATGAGGGTCCACACACCAGCTTGGAACATGGGTGTGTCGGACTAGAAGAATGTGGAAGGTCTGGCAACCAAACAGAAGTGTGAAAGAACATCTGCCCTCTGTTCAATGCTGTAGGTTGGAGGCCATCGCCCTTAGGGTGGAGGCCATCACCTTTCGGGTGGACGCCATCGGGTGGAGGCCATTGCTTTTAGGTGTTCTCTCTAGTAGCGTCCTTGCTCCTAGTAGCGATGCCAGGAGCCCCTAGTAGCTTCTTGCTCCTAGTAGTAAGGCCAGGAGCCCCTAGTAGCGTCCTTTTTTCTGGGCCCCGGCAGCGCCTTGGTGCTCTTCCATTTGCCCTTGAAATAGCTCTTCCATGTCGGCTTGCCGTCACCCTGGGCACCCTCATAGAAGTCCTTCTCAGCCTCCTGAGGCTTCGCTTGGCCAACGGTTGCTTACAAGAACCGAGTTCTGATGGAAATCGAATCTACTGAATTTGCTGATTTCAGGTTGATTCAGTGTTGATTCTGTCTTTTGCGAGGAACATCTTCACCACAGGATCGCAGCAGGTGTGGGTGTGCGTTCAAAACCACAAACCGTTCAGAAACAAGCACCCGTCCCTTTTCACCATGCTTTCACTGCTGGGTACCTCGTCACTGGGACGTCTACCGAACCGAAATCTCTCCCTCTTAGCAATCTATTCGTAAACATGAACAGTGACACTGCACTAAGATGGGCCACTACCGGACGAAACGCATCGCACAAGCCAACGGCTCCTTGGGAGTTGGCTCATAGTCCCACATCTCCTTTCTGAGAGGAGTCGTTTTTGTTTTTTTGGGTCTACCAAAGTCTACAAACTCAACTGTTTGACCTGACCTTTCTGGAGGAACATCCAAAGGAATAGGCATTTAACACAGTTCGCATTGGCGGTCCTTCTTTTTGTACGTTCTTAAAATGCTCATCTGCCCCCCCTCCCTTTGTTCATTTTGTTGTGGAGGTCTAAAAGCATCAGCATAAGCTCAAACTTGCCAGAAGACACCAGGAGTTCCCAAGGGGTGATTGCACCTGGGATCTGCCTTCATCGAAGTGGCTTTCTTCCAGTTCTCAATCAACGGCCGTACCTCAGTCAACCTGCTCAATCAGTCAACACGCTCTGACCCCTCCTTAATCTTCTCCGGCGTCACGGCCTACCGCGGAAGGAGCACGGCACCGAGCACAGCACCTGGCTTCCTGGTGTGCACCTGGCCCCTTTGATGTCATTCCGAAAGAAGAATGGCCAGCATCACCTATAGGGTACATTTTGGATGCACAATACATGGTCAGGGGCCTATAAACCACCTTTTGGGTAGTGCTGAACTATGAAAATAAAGAAGTACCCATCTTGTATCCCGTCAATTGAGTGACATGATACTGCACGCAAAGGTTCAAACAAAACCCTTATATAACCCGCAGGAAAATAACCTCGTGGCCAATTTGAATTTATACCTTATACCTTTGAAAAGAGTCTAGAAGGATATGGCAATTCGATGGGATTTCTTGTGTCTCTAAGAAAACATAAGAACACCTTTCGCTTTCTTCACTCTGCGAGAGCACACCCACATCATCCGGTCGAACGATCGAGTCCACCCCGGACGTCGGTCGATTCGCCTCGAAGTAGTCTGGGTCCCCTGGAGTTCCCCAGCTTTTAATGCACCTGCCTCACGAGCGCAAGTAGAACACAGCATCCAACAGCGCTTCGGAGAAGGCGAAAAAAAACACATCAAAAAGAACAGACGTTTTTGTTCGCCGTTGGAAAACGGATGGAGCGATTTTGCTTTCGGTGCTTTGGGTGGACAATAAAGAGGACTGGACCCTGAATGACCCTGAAGCACTTTCTCAGTTGCCCGGTGTTCAACGTTCACCAGTGGAGGGTACACTTACCAAAATCCTTGCTGAAGTCATGTCCAAGATTGCCGAAGACGGCACGATGCCATTGACCCACGGTGTCGGAGTAGTGCCTTCAGCTGTCGGTGTGTCTGTGACTGCCGTGGTCAACACTCAATCTACTGGTCAGGTATTGTGTTAAAACCTGGAAACTCAGTCCCAACCAGACACAAATGGATGTTTCCCCAGTCTCTCAAATAATTGCCACATGGGAACAACCAGAACTGCTTCTGGTTGGGACTGGGTTTCCAGCTATGTCTTTTTTGTTCTTGTGCGTGTCGAATGTTGCGCATAGCGACTGGTGTCTTTGGTCCAAAACAAAGGTGTCGGGCCTCAGAAAACAGCAAACTCGACAGTATCGACAGCTGTATTGACACTGTCTTAGATGATCCTATAGAAGAATCAGTGGACTCGCGGCATTCTTGTGCCACTCTCACGTTTCTGGTGATGACAAACAGACCCACGGCCAATTTGTCTGGAGAGCGCTACTGTTTCTGGATCTAGTTGGTACAGTAGCTCTTTCCGTTCCACAGCTAGAAAGATAACGCACTGCTTCACAACTTGGATCAAAAACCAAAGTAATACATTGGCGCTTCTTCCAGTCCGGTCTGGGTCGGGCCCAACTCCCTGACCCTTGCACAGGTTTGAGTCCATTTCTATTGTTTGTTTGGGATCAGGACAGTCTTGGAAACATCTCTGTTGAGAATTAATCTTTGCAAAACGAAGGTCAATCATTCTCAGGGGACTCAAACGACTCTTCCAGGTTCGGTGCGTCCCTTGTGTTGATGGAACTTGGCCACATTCTGGGGATATGTTTTAAAAGTAAAAACTACTCAAACAAACATAGATATATTGTCCCACAATCACCCAACAATCACCATCATCTCACCACATGAAGCGGCGAAGCTTTGGGACCAAACCCGCTTCCCGTTGCCCGTTTCCCGTCGGGTCTCGCCAAGGGGCTTGAGATGCTTGGCCCACATCTTCGCACGCTCGGCGGCTAAGGTGCGATACTTCTGGGCATCCAGGGTGCCATCGCCCACCTCGCCCACGTCGGCGTTGACAAAGAAAAGGAAGGAAGGAAGGAAGGAAGGAAGGAAGGAAGGAAGCCACCGAAAACACCATGCCGATAACACCCATTTTTTGAAGGTTTCACTTCAGCTTGCCGTGGATGCTTGAGCATGACTTCTGCTATTTACTGCAACTACAACAGCTACCACTGGAGAGAGTTCGGAAAAAAGACTTTGCTGAGATTGAGATGCTATCCCACTGCTGGAGTTCTACAAGCACTGTCAATCCTGAACCTTTTTTTTGAATAGTGTCAGAAGTTCTTCTGTGAACCGTCAACTGCATGGCAAGCATAAGTGTGGTACAAATCCTTATGCCCATGTCTGCCATAAGTGTGGTTGAAACAATTTCAACTAACCTTCACTCTCCGAGGCTTGGAAGCTGAACCCGACACCCCCCGCTTGGATCGAGCTACAAAGCGCGAGATGATGATCTGGTCGCCCCGCACTCCGTAGCCGGATCGTGGCCTCACGCTCCGTTGGGGGATCCTAATAGCAAAGGGTTCTTCATACCTAATGGCAAAAGGAACTTAGTAGCAATGACCTCCAACCGAAGAGGGACGGCCTCCATCCTAGTAGCGATGGCCTCCAACCACATGGAAAATAAAGTCAAATGGAGTCAGGATTGGTCTTGTCTTGGGCAAAAACACTCAGGCTGAAGCGTGGCGACCGAAAGCACACGAATACATTGTACATACTAGCTTGATGCCTTGTATTGTGGCCGCACACCACTCCGCTTTGGGCTGAGTGACATGGAACATCTTGAAGCATTTATACAAGGGTAGCTGTGCAACAAGTGCATGGGATATGTAGGATTCATTCGCTCCATCCGGAGAGCCCAAATTAGGCCGAATATTCCCTGAACTTCAGTTCTTTTCCTGGGTATGACTGTCAAATAGTCTTGATACTGCGTCGGTTGAAGCATCAGTCAAAGCATGGCTGCAAACTCAAAGTGCCTAAGCTTCCCCAACAAAAAGTTTTGGAGCCAACTAATTGTTTGAACAATCAAGGTGTTTACATACAGAACATCCTATGGACAGTTTCTTTTTCCAGCAGGTGTGCACTCTGTGGTAGCACAGATCTTACGCATAGACCACAGGCAGCCATTGGCCCCAAAAGGAATCCCAACACCAACAATCACATTGTCGGTGCTAAATGGGCCAGTTGACAGCAGAAATCATCATGGAATCCTGTCAGTCGTGACCATGGAAAAAGGAATCGACCCAACTTGTGCCACACAGCGACTAATCTTTCTGGGGGTCCGGCTTTGGTTCTCCCATCCAGCAAAGGTCTTGCTCCTGAACCCCATCTGGATAGACCGCTGCCTGCAACTGGTTCTTGCCAATGGCCAGCCTAGGCACAGGCTGCCGCTTCGTGCTCAAAAGACATCACTGCCGCAAGCCACTTGACTGTTTCGGGGACGCCCAAATCCAGGTCAAATCGGATGTTTGCGGAAGACTTACTGGATCAAATGAGCATGCTGCCCACTCTCCCCCAAAATAGCCGATGAGCAGTACTAGAAACCAACAAGCGAATTGCTCAACGTCCTTTGGTTGTACCTGGAAAACGTTGTTCCAGTATGGCAATTGAGATCTTTACATCACAAATGCTTAGCACTGGGAGATCATCCGTTTGTTTCTGGTTGGGACTGGATTTCCAGGTATAGCTATGACATGGTTTTGCCCTACCCTGGCTCGCAGGCAACGATCTGCTCCAAATGGATGCAGCTGCTCCTGTTTGGAACCATAAGGAAAGGGGGCCAAGCTAACATCCAAGAACAACCAATAAAACCTCTGGTCAGCTAATAATATCCTTCATGCAGCACCAGTAGAAACCAGTTCAGAGTAAGGTGAAGTAACAAACATAGGGCCATATCAAGCTCCTCACGGCAGTTTGTAAGTCGAGCATCTCGGTATGTGTCCAATGGATCTTGTCTGTGTGGGGCGTTGTCTGCCTGAGACAAACAAGCGGTGCTGAAAATGCTAAGCACTTCATGCGGAGACTGTGTCGTGGTTTGACATCTGACTGTAAATAATCTCCAACCTAACCCAGTATTAAAAGAAAACAAAGCTTCAAATGATCCTTCTCCAACTAATCAATGCCCGAAGAAACTCGTGTACGGCGGTAGTAAGATGAGACCTCGTGGAACTAGGTGGTGAGTGGTGAGTTAGATTGAGTTAGTTGAATTGGCTGCCTTGATCCAGCTTGGTTGTGAGGCAACGTGTTGAGCACGGTGGTGAGGCAGCCATGATTTTATTTGAGAGACTCTAAGACTCTAAGGTAGATTTATTCTCTGTCTTTAGACCTTCAGACTTTGTCTTGTTCCGCTCTATTGAATTTGTTTTTGTCTGAATATGTACACGGCGCATGTATAAGAGTGAGGTATCTATAGGCGAGCGGGGTTGGCAAGTGGTGTGGTAATCTCCTGACCTTACCAAAGGGTTGGCTCTCTCTATATACATGTCAGGCAGATGTGTTTTCATTTCTTGAGTCTTGAGTCTTGAGGTAACCACTAAAGGAGGTTGACATTTCGACGGTTTAAGGTGGTATGCTCCACCTGGCTGGGAGGTAAGGGTGAGCTTGGGAAGCATCGAACTGACCCTTGAGCCAAGCGAAACGATGACTTCTTTACCAGGCTGCTTAGTAGTCCCATAAGCAAGCAAACGCAACCCATTGCAGTGTGGAAAGCAAGCATGACTTGCTTCCCCCATAACCGTGCACACAAACAGGTTACCCTGTGATTGCAGAACCTATCAATCTAACTAAAGGAGCACATACTGCGCGATCTTTCTCGGAGATCCAGGATGCTTTATTTTGTGCAGCATGATTTGTTCCACTCAGATATCTTCTAACTGAATACACGCAGCAAAAGATCATCACGGTCCTGCACCTTGCTACTTTTAATGAACCATACAAGAAGTTCTTTGTCATCCCAAAAGCACCCAGTCCTTCACCTCAAAGCTTCGTTCCCGCGTTGACACACGTGACTCCCCCCCTTGCTCCTTACGTGGGCATAGAGGGCTGTGACTTTCGCGCCCGTCCAAACAGCGCTCTTGCCGACGACTTTGCCCAGGAAAATTCCCAGATCTCCAATGCCCTGGCCGGCGATCGTGTCGTGTAAAATTAAACTTGGGCCGACACCGGCGATCCGGATGGGTTTCGGTGGGAAATGAAACGGACATGGACATGGTTTCGGTCGGTCTGTCCCAAAAACACGCTGTTGGTGATGTGTGGGGCACTTCTTCTCTTCACCAAGAGGAAAGGTGGAGCACTTTTTCGGAACGACATCCGAAGCCGGTGCCCCCTTCAGGGTGTGACCCTTACAGTAGGCACCAATGAAGCGGCAACTACAGTTTGGCTTCAGCACCAAGTCTACCAAGAAACATACAATAATTCGGACTCCTTAAGCAGCCATTAGCTGTAGCCTAAACAACCGGCATTGGGGAACAACTTTGCAAAGACACAATGGGTCAGGCTTTCGAACTGGAATGTATCCTGTGCATACGATTCAAAATCATGTGTGAAGAGATGTGAGTCGGTTTGTGGGGCACACAGCTTTGGACTAGCGCGATAATGACTTTCAGCTGTTGCAATATGTTCCAAGAAAGATGGGGCTAAATTTGGTATCAAAAATGTACTTTACACATGGTGCAGTCCCGGAAATGGAACATGTATTCTGGTCGGTATTAAGTAATATATTAATGGGTCTGTCCTAATACCTGTAACAGTGGATGATGATGGTTAGTAAACGCCTTGTTCAAAAATAGAAATAATTGTTTACTGACTGTTACAGGTAATAGGACAACCCCCCAAAAAATATATATATATATAATATATTATTATTATTATTACAATATGTGTATATATATATACAAACTATATAAAGGTATTTTAAAGGTGTGTTTCTGGCCGTGCACATGCAAAGCACCACTCAACATCACAAGACTCGACCAAGCATAGAATGATACAGGCGAGAAGTCACCACAATGGACAAACCAAGAAGCGATCAGCAGTTACAACCCGATTCTCCAGGATTTTTTGGTCATCCCGCACTGCAACAAGCAATATCTAAGCATCCAGCAATTCTATGAGGAGATACGTCGACTTGGCGAAGAAAAGCACAGACCAAACAAACTCATAGAGCAGAGTTTCTGCACAAGACAATCTCATAGACGAGGGGAGCCAAGCCTTAGGGGAATTGGAAAAGCAACAAAAACGATGTCGACCAGATTTCGACAAGGCACCTTCAGGAGATTCCAGCCAACGTCGGCAAAGGCCTTGCAGACCTGGCAACGGGCAAGACGCACAGCACGCGCTGCCTGGTCGTTTTCTCCCGGATGAATGAAAAAACGAGTGGCAACCAAAAAACACTTGCCAACTACGAAGAATCGCCTTCGTGCAAAGACATCTTCTGTTTTTTTATTTTGACGCTACCTCAACATAACATGTAAAGCCAAAGCTGGGAGCTGAATAGATCTATGAAACTGAACCACGAGAGCAGTTCACTTTCGGCATTGACCAGTCTGGGTGACATGGATCTATCTATCAGATCCGCCAGTTTCAGTGGGAGTGGGTATCCCATCGAATGAGGCCCGCTCCGGAGCTCTCAGACGACATCATCTGCTTGGTTGCTTTCTTGTTACTAGTATTAGCAAGAATGCTCCTAGTAGTAAGGAGCCCCTAGCAGCATCCTTGCTCCTAGTACTAAGGCCAGAGGCCCCTAATAGCTTCTTGCTTCTAGTAGTAATGCCAGGAGCTACGAGTAGCGATGCCCTCAATACTAATTAGTAGCGGTGCCCTTGGTACCTTCACGAATGCATTGGCACCATGCTTGAGGCCAAGCACCGTATATCGTTTGGCCTCGCATTGGCCGAAACGGGCCAAAAGAAACTGGAGGAGTTGTGGGCGAAAACGAAAACGAAACACGAGGCTTGAAGATTTGGAGGAACAAAGAGTTGTTCGAGACTTTGCTACAAAGAAAGGTTCTATACCATGGAAACCCATGGAAACCCATGGAAAAGAACTCAAACAAGGCCGCGCCTCAGTTGGCTTCGAATCCCTTAGGAATCTTAAATTCTTTCAGATTGCCCAATTCCATCAAGAAGGAACCAAGTATCAACCGTCATTGGTACGAAATCGTAGGAAGATCAATGAAGATCGCCTCCTCAAACGTTAAATGCGAAGAACGTCATCCTCTTATGTAGTAACAAGAAGCTAGTAGTAACAAGTGCCACGCTTCTAGGAACAAGTGCCTTACTAGTAGTAACAAGAAGCTATTAAATTTGTCTCCTGGCCCTTTGGTCCAGACCTCTTGGTACTTTGCGAGGTGAGATCATACCACCCAAACAATACAACTGCCCAGTCCCTGTGATCCACCCGCATCTATCATACGAGCGATAAAGACCTCTCACAGTCTCACCAGACGTACTGGCAAGCCACAAACAGCACATGTTATAGTAATATTTAATTTTATGACTGGTTATGACATCTTTATGAATCCATAATTACTATGTGTGTATATGTTGTACAAACAACCTGGAAAACCGGGCCTTTTTGATGATTTGTTTTGTTAAATGATTTCCTCCTTCCGTCACCTCCGGACGCTCTCTCAGGGGTCCCCGCCGAATGGACTCAACGGCAGAATCATAAACAGATATGACATAAATCATTCTTTTTTAATCAAGAATCACTTATTAAAAAACAACATTAAACACATATCCTTGAAATCAGCCTCTGGCTAGTGCAGTACGTCATAAATGTAGACTGATTCATAAGAGTATTGCTCCTTTGGTTTCCAAGCAACTTTTGCTCCTTTGGTCTCATTGACCGTTTCTTTCTCCGGGCTCGAGGTATTGAAGGTGTTCCTCGGCGAAGGTGACGCATAAGGGAGACAAGGGAGACACACGTCCCACACGTCCCATTGGTCCACACGTCCCCACGAAGAGACTCAGGAAGGTAACCACTTTGTTACTAGTAGCGTCCTTGTTACTAGTAATAAGACCAGGAGTTACTACTAGTAGTAACTAGTAGCTTCTTGTTCCTAGAAGTGATGCCCTTCTCTTCCCCAGTATCAAATTGCCAAATTGGAAGACTCGAAGACCATCTGACTGGCAAGTCATGTCGACTGTCGGACCCAAGCGACGAATAATCGAAGTGAGGCCCATAGCCTCAGACGACCGGTTGGTCGGCACCGGGCGAGGACGCCAGTGCTGTGCACCGGGGGCGGGTTTGGGACCGAGCCACTGAAGGTCAATTTGTTCAAGCGCAAGGCTTCAGCTTCAGCATTCATCTGGGTCCTCAGCTGGAGCTGTGCACGAGATCTGCAAAAAAAGAGCTAAAAAATACTAAAAGCAATGCTCAGTTCCGACGGATGTCCGTTCTCAACTCGAACATGGACCGATCATTGTCCGGTGGTCTTCTGCTTTGGGCAAACAGGTGCTATAGTATCTAAATTCTGCTTGCTTAAAGGGGAGGAAGCTGTTCCTCAGGGAGGAACAGTGAATAATGCTCTTTCTGATGCTTGGCGGTTTCGTCGCACAGCACGTTCTTGGCGGTTTCGTCTCAAGGTGCCAACGGCCGAAGGTTCCACACCGACTTCGGGACTTCGGCTGTCGCCCATTTGGGATCGAGCGTTCGGTCGCACGCGAAACCAATGGAAACCACGTCCCAAAACCAGAAACAAATTGGATGTTTCCCCAGTCCCAAGCATATGACAAGCATCTCAAGTGCCATATTGGAACAACCCTTTAATTTCTGGTTGTTTGGATTTGTATGTCTCAAAATGTCTCAATGCCCCAATTAAAGAACCGGCCACATGACAAAGTAGAGTCGGTTGACAAACAGATTGACAGCAACAAAAAGTCAAAGGACAGGAGTTCCTCCACCCAAGCATCACGAGCTATCCTTGGCCCCAGCCCCTTCCTCGTAATCCCATCGATTCTATTACATTCTTCTTCTTTTTTCCCGCTGCGTTTGACCAATGAAAGGATCTAATCCTATACAGATACTTAACTCCAACAAACAATGAACAAAATCTCGTGAAGTGCCATCCGCCCACGCCAACTGCCATCTCCCTCCCGGCTGAGGACGTCTCGCTGGCCGAGCCTCAGTGTCTGCGAAACGTCCTCAGTGTCTGCGAAACGTCGGGGAAGACGATGAATGGTAGCCAAACAGCCCAATATCTAACAACCCATCTGGCTGAATAGCAGTATAGTTGACTGACTTGAGTGAATCATAGTGAATCCCATTCAACAAGATTCAACCATGCAAGGGATTCAAACCGGCAATGTAGATGCACATCGATGCCTTTGCATGCCTTTGGGCCTTCAATAACAAAACAACTTAAACATCTGAACATATCTGAAACATATCTTGGCTACCAAAATCTACCAAAACATACCACAACACAAATCACCGTTTGGTCAGCCGAGACAAGAAAAAAAACTGTCAGGTGTTCGACTTCAAGTCACTTTCTCAAAGTCTGGGCCACCAACTTCAAAGGTCACAATGTCCCCTGCCTGGTCACTGGGGCCGCAGTGGGCCAGGGCGGCGCGGGCTTCACGCGACGGTGAGCACCGTTTGGAGCCTACTAGTAGCGTCCTCTTGTTCCTAGTAGTGAGGCCAAGAGCTACTAGTAGCGTCCTTGCTCCTAGTAGGGATGCCCTTGTTACTACTAGTAGTTTCTTGCACATGTTTCAAACATGTTGCATTCTGGATTGAGATCACGGATCACTTCTGACCACTTGATCAAAAGCAAGCTGTCGAAAAAGGTCACTGCATGAAAAGTCCCCTTTTTGTCGCCTTTCTTCCGACGAAATACAACCAGGACGCCCAGAAACCCCACGTCGCACGGATTTATCTCTCTGCCCGCACCCCCGGACGTCACGTGCTTCACGCGCCTCCACGGGCATGTTCAAATCACACCGTGGAAGGGGCTCTGTATCATCTTCCTGAGTGAAGGGTCCGTGAACGGCTGGTCACACCCCGGCTCGTAGACTGAGAAGGACCGCCAAGTGGAAGACCGTTCCCCAACAGCATCTTTTGCCCAGGCGGAGCCCTTCCGACAAAATGGAAAAACATGTCAAGCATAGTTCCCAATAGGTTCCCATATCCAAACTGTTAGAACTCATGATGAGACCATCTCGGACTTGAAAGAAACAACAAAATGCGAACAGCGCTCTCTGGAAAAATCTTTCCCTGCTGCCACCACACGAAATTGAAACCCTTTGGAGCTCCGTCACTCACTACCTATCTGTTCTTGATGGCTTCACATTGGCAAACAATCCAACAAAAACATTCGTAGAGTGTTGTGCCCCTTGATTTGGTGACGCGTTGGTTGTGCCAGGTGTCATAATCTTCATCAATAGTGATGGCTTGCACTTCCAGCGTGTCAGTCACATGTTTTTGCAGCTCCTCAAGTTCTTCCTGTGAGACGCTTTGTGGTGGGGAAGCACAATTATGACAAATTTGGCATTTGGAGCAGTCTGGCCATACTATCTTGCACCCCTGAGTAGTGCGGCAAGAAGAGACTCCAGAAGTGTATCTTTTGTTGCAATCCATGGTCGTTAGGGCTAGGGTGACTAGAGCAACATGGCTACTCAAAGTGGATGATCCCCAAAACGGGAAGAAGAGCTTGGACCCAAACAGATTGGACCATCCCTGAGTGAAGTCACAATGCAATTGGAGTCCAAGAAGGACAGACCTGGAAACCCAGTCCCAACCAGAAATAGAAGGATGTTTCCCCAAACAACCAAACCTTTTCTTGCGAGTCTAAACCGCCCCAAGGGTGAAACCAGCCTGGTACCTGTCAATCTTCCCTTCTTTCTTCATCTTCTTGATGAGTTCCGCCAGTCCCGCCAAATAGAAACTCAGCCTTGGCTGGTTGACGGCTGGTGCGCCACACAACACTTTCGAAATCAGTGGCCCATGGCAAAGGTTGCAAAGTTCCGCAGAAAACCTCTATATAAGGCTCAGTTGTGGCGAACACAAACAACTAGAAAACTGGGAAGTGTAGGACGCTCCCGAATTCTGAGTGATTGCTCCAAACATTGATGACAGGGATGCATCAACATGCATCAACTGTGTTTCACTCCTGGGCCGAATCGGAGCTCTTTCGAAAACCTGAGGTCTGAGGCGCGCCACAAGCCCCTGATACGAACACATCTGCATGGTGGCGCTCCACCCCACCACTTTCTCACCAGTTCACTGTGAAGGTGGTGGCTTCCACGATCGGGGCCATCCTGTTTGTGGCAAGCCTGTTTTGAAGTACTGGCCGCCGCTAAATTCATTGGGCTCCACTGTCCACATACTGGGTCATGGTTGGGTAGAGTGGGTGGCAATGGGCGCTGGTTCACTTTTGGGCTAACAAGAGGCCTTGCGGATTAAAGTTTTCGGGGTCCACTAACCTCATTTCTCCAACCCTTGTTTTGGTTCAAGAAGCCGATACAAGAAGCCCAAAAAGGCCATTAGCTAGCCACGCAAATTGGTGATTCAGTGGGCTCGCAAGTCATTTAATAGGTGGTGGCTTAACGGCTCTTCCACTATCTTGTCTTCTGGCACCTTCTTTAACATGGTATAGTTGGGTTGGCTCCTCCAATCAGAGGCTTCCATAGCTTAATGGTTAAAGCGTTGGTCTTCAATTTCTTTTTCCACGGTGTCAGGGTTCGAGCCGAGCGCCGGCTGCGACCACACTTAGCGGATTCCGGTCAATCTTTGCCAGAATGGGAAGTCAATTTAAAGTTGAATCTAGTGGCTTCCGCTAAATCTGTGGTGGTGGTAATACTAGTGATAGTAGTGAGTAGCAGTAGCAGCAGTAGTAGAGCTGTTGTAGTAATAGCAGTAGTGGTAGCAACTGTAGTGGCAGTAGCAGTGTAGGAGTGGTGGCAGCAACAACAGTAGTAGCAGCAGAGGTAGTAGTAGCAGTTGTTGTTATGGCAGTGGTAGCACTAGTAGTTGATCCAAGGGCTTGGATCACACACCCACCTTTTGATCCATACCCTATGGATCGAGGTATGGATCGTGTGGGTTTGGGTGTGTGATCCAAGCCTTAAGTTTCTGGCCGTAGCCATATATGCACTCACGACCTTTTGAAAATCAAAACCTTCTGAAAACTTCGCGCTACCAGTGAGGCCCTGCCTCGCAATATCTCACTCAACGATTCTTGCGCAGTCGCCGCCTGATTGGGAACAACAAAAATGTCAAACATGCGCGAGGGGTAACGTCAAGCCGACGGCGCTGACAGATTGGCCAGTCTTGAAGCTCGCCGACTGCAAAATACACATCTTTGCCCAAGTGCGTAGAAAGGGCGGAGCATTCCTCACGGCTGGGTACATTCAACGTTTGAGATTGGTTTCTAGACAGCAAATAACTTTACTATGCCCATCAAAAGACGGACAACCCAAGGAATACAGTGATTACAATTATTACAAAGCTTGGGCCAATGCTACAACATACATATACTGTGCAGACACACGCGCGTGCTTCACTCGGATCAATGATGTCACCTTACCTTGTTCATGATGCTGCAATGTTGGGGGTGCATTTCTTGCATCATGGGGCTTGTTTTTACCTTGAAAACTGGCAAAAAAAGGTTTCAGTCGTGATCAATAGATCACGAGCCAAAGCCAAGATTGTTTGCTAATTTTTGTATTGACATTATACAAACTTTTTATTAAGGCAAAAACCCTAAACGCCAAACTCTGCTGGACAATTGTTTTGGGGGTGGTGGTTTTTGTCATTTTTGCTTGCCTGCAAATGTTCAATGCAAAGCGCTTTGGTGGTGCAACGTTGTTGGCTTGCATCATTGGCATTTCTTGTTTCTTGCGGGGTGACCCTTCCTTGGCATCATATTTTTTCTCTGGTGAGCTTTCACATTACGCTGCACTGACTGGACTGTCCTCACTCACTGGCCCCACTGCAATGTTCACTGCTCTCATTGCACTGCTCGTGTGGTGGTGCCAGTTTCATTCATTGGTTCGGCGCTGTGTTCTTCAAGTGTCAAGTGCTTGGTTGGGGGCTGTGTTCTTCAAGTGTGGTGATTG